TAGTTGAGTGTCCCTTCCTGAAGACATTCTGTCGGGGGGCAAGGACTCTTTTTTTTCTATGACTGACGCCAAGCATGTATTGAGCAGACTCTCCACCATATTGCCTGCTGTGTCTAGCATGCAGAGTGGACAGACCCGGGCCCTAAGGTAGCTGTTATACATGTTAAGCAGGAGAACAGGGCTTGCTCTCGCTGCTAACCTAATTCCCTCCCTAGTATGCCATCGGGGCCAGAGTCTTGCCGAATTTCATGCTTCGCAGGGCTGACCTCAGCTCGTCTGCCGAAAACAGTGGCGCCTTGGCTTGCTCCATAATCATTACTATTGTCATAACTAATACCATAACCAATACTATTACCAATTTCATAACAATTACTATTACCATTGGCATTTCCATTAACATTTCCATTCCCTCATACTAATTACAATAGGCAATGTTTCATTATTCCTACCATTATCATTATCTTTATTAACATTACCTTGAATAATCAGTTAGCATCATCATAACAATTTCCATTACAATAACCAATGCTATTACGACTACTATTACTATTAAAAATACTGTTAACGTTATTCTTAGCATTTACATCCCCTTATACTAATTACCATTTGCTATAGATAATACTACCATTACCATTTAATTACTCTTATCCTTGCCATTACCACTAGCATGATCAATATTATTGCCATTGCCATATCCATTACTCTTACCATTACAATTTCTTTGATCATTAGCATTACTATTTCTAATTTCCATTCCCATTTACCCTAACTATTGCCATTGTCAATAACACTAACATTACCATTACCATTACCAATACAATAACCATCATCAACAAAATTCCCATTACCATTACATTTACCATTTTCGCTACAATTTTAAGTACCATTTTCCACTATTATATAGTGTACATAGTTATTATAGTATATGCAATGAGAGAAAGGAAATTTTGAAAAGACTTTAAACTTGAGGCTCCTGCTATTCGTATACTGCAGTCAGTGCCTTTTACAGGAAATTAGCACAAGGCATACCCATATGTCTTTAAAGAACCGTGACGTATATTGGAGAAACATATAGGAAAGGTATCGACAGCTATTACAAAGGTCGCACCGCACCCTCTCTTTTGGTTTTCTCAAAAAAAAAAAAAACGATTTGATCAAGACGACTAGGATTTTGCCTGGGATTATAAGCAAGGTGTTCGTCTTTAATTTTTTTGATAGTGAAATATCCCCATTGTTACGCGAATAAGAGATTTATCCGATTGAATCCAAAACGAATTCAACCAGCAGCCTGAATTAGGGCAAACCTAAACAGTCAAGCTTAATAAGTGATCGCCCAAATATCGTAAGAGCGGCATTAAGTATTCAATGAGTTTTGGCTCTTCCTGACTTCTAAAACCTCTACAGAAGCCTAATATTTCGTTCTTGATGCACATACGCCTAATGGTACCTTGGCCAGTTTGTGATGCTATGAAGAGTCGTAGGCGTTTTGTAGGTCATCGGAAGCAAGACACAATCGATGTATTAAGATCCATAAATCTATTAGGATTTCGCGTTATCTTCTGTTCATCCTCATTAGCCAATCGTCGAGTCGATTAGTCTTATTTCGTTAACGGAAGTTTCGTCATGGGGGCAGAATTTTCTGACAGTGGGACCAAAAATACTTACCTTGCTGACCCTAGCATCAAATTCGCGAAGCACGGGTTTAATATAGTGTCGGAAACTGCGCTAGTCTGAGAGTGGAGGGAAAGTCAAGAGATGTTGAAGAAGGTGCTTTCATTTGGGCGAGACGGTCGTTGACTGGGGATCCCACCAGAAATCTAACACTGACTTTGAGCATCTTTTCATGGCAGCTGGAGTATACATCAGAAAGTCCCACCTTGATCCTTCCATTGCAACTTTAGTCATTCCGTAGAATCAGAGGCACATTCCCTATAAAAGGTACAGCAATTCGCGTTCGTCTTCTCAACGACTGTAGTGTCTTCAAGCAATATTCAAGGAAATTAGATGGCCATATACGGTTCTGAGATACCCATTGACGACGCAGATAGCTCTGTACCACTTACCACCATTTTGTTATCACGTCGGAAATATTTAAGAAGACGCTATAGCTGTTATTAATTACTTGTGAGACAAGCATTTGTACAGAATTGTACATTTTGGCAGTAACAGTGTGGTGTGTCTTGAATTTTTTACCAAGAAGGAGTTGAGCTCAATAAAAAAGTAAAGCAAAGTAGACCTTCTTAAACTTAATACATCTGCAATAAAAGTCCATACCGAAATCATCACCGCTCGTTGTGCTACTACACCAATGATCCAATCATGACGAACACCAAAAAATACTCTCTGCAAAAGCTGCCGAGATGGAGATAAGGAGCAATTAAATAATTGAACACATTCTCTCTCGTTGTCCGGTCCTACAGTCGGAGCGTATCAAGCACTTGCGATTCAGTGCTTTTTGGCACTCTTGGAATTTTTCGTCGTTTTACAATTGTTCAGATTTTTTCAAGAGCTTTAGAGGATTTTCGTATTTTGTACTGGCTTTTAAAAGACATTTCAGGCCTCTTTGAGATTTTCAGGAATTTTCACTAAATTTTCTTAGGAGCTTGTAAGAATTTACGTATTTTGTTCTGAATTTTTCATGACGTTTCAGTTCTTTCTGATACGTTTAGGAATTTTTCGTCGCTTTTAGAAAGTCCCAAATTGGTTTTTTGAGGACGTTTCAGAGGCTTTCAAGACTTGTAGGAATTACTCGTCGTTTCAGATCTGTTTCCATTTTTTCAGGTGCTTTTGAGGATTTTCCCGTTTTGTTCTGTGTCTCCTTCAGGAGCTTTTGAGGATTTTCGTATTACTTTCGGGGTTTTTCCAGGACGTTTGAGGGCTTTTCGACACTTTTATGAAGTTTTCGTAGTTTCAGAATTTAACGGTGATCGTATTTCCTTAAGAATTTTTCAGGAAGTTTCAAGTCTTAGGAATTTTTCATATTTTTAGAATAGTTCCTATTTCTTTTTCAGAAGTTTTTGAGAATTTTCGTATTTGGTTCCGGATTTTTATGGAGGTTTCCGGGCTTTTTCAACCAGTTTGGAAATTTTTCGTTGTTTTAAAACTGTTTCTTACTTTTTTCAGGAACTTTTGAGGATTTTCGTACGTTTTAGGCACTTTCAGGGTATTTTCAATAATTTGTTTTAAAACTGTTTAGAACTTTTTTAGGAGCTTTATGGGGCTTTTTCGCAATTTTTATGGATTTTATCAGGAAATTGCCAGGATTTTCGCCGCTTTTAGGTATTTTTCGGCAGCTTTACGGTTTCTTTAGAGATTTTCCAGGACTTCAAAGAATTTTTTCAAGACTTTTCGAACTTCCGAAAAAGGAAGGAGTGAAACAAGTAGTGCTTTTGCGAACGGAAAGATCATTGCAAAAGTAATCTTGGAGCGCTTAAGGGAACATCTTAATTCGACTATCGACAACTCTTGGCCGGGTTTCCGCGCGTGGATCGCCTTCACAGACTATATTAACACAGTGAGAATCATCAACGAGCAGTGCGCCAAGTTCAGAGCTGATCTGCATTTAATGTTTGTCGCTTTCGAAAAGGTCGATATTGTTGTTCATAGAGAGAGAGAGAGAGTTGGACTGAGTCGCAGAGGAGTCTCCGAAAAATCCTAGCTGTTATTAAATCTGCATACGTACATACGATGGAGCTACTTCACAAATGAAAGCTGTTTGAGATATTCCAAGTTTTCAGCAGGGCTCGATAAGGCTGCATACTCCCATTCCTTTTATTTACTGCCAACTGCCAACTTCGGTGGTCCATGCCCAGTTTACTGCAGCACATTGACTACGCTGACGGCATATGTCGTTAATCTGTCTAAAATGGGCAACGCACCACAGAGCAGCTAAGGCGGCAGGCCTGAGAAACAACTTTGATAAAGCCAAAGCTCTACGTACGCCACGGAAGTATAGTGGCGGCGTATTAGTCGCTAACCAAACTCTACAGATATTGAGGAATTGTACATACCTTGACAGCGAAGTTGCCCTTAGTGGCGGCATAGACGAAGAAATTGGCCGCCGTATAAGTAAAATTAGAGCGGCCATTGGTGCGATGTACACGTTGCGGTGAAACAACAATCTGATTTCCAGCTTAAAGATAGGAGCTTCAAGTCCAATGTGGCCGCGATGCTGGTGTATGGCAGCTCCACCTGGAATGTGACTACTGCAATAACCCGGCCTTCATAACAAATTTCTTGGAATGATACTCCGAATTGTTTTCCCTAAACCAATCTCAAATGAGGAGGTACTCAGAAACTGTAGCATGGAGCCCCATTACATCTGAATTCAAAGACAGAAATTGAAGAGGTAATGCCACACTTTGCGCAAAGAAGACGGTAGTATTGCAATAACGGTCTTGGAATGAAATCCCCCAATCGGCAGAGGCAGACCTCCCGGCAGACCGCGTGAAAGGAGGAGAAAAACATACGATTGAGAGGCGAAGCAACTCGGGCTAAGCTGGCAGGAGCACAAAGAGATTTCCAGAAACAGATCCAGATGGAGCGCAGGCCGTATGTCCTGCTTGGGATTAAATGAAGCAGAAGAAGTTATCTATATTTAACTTCCATTGCTTTAGGAAAACCTTCTCGTTGGCCTTCGTATTGCAGAGCTTTTCGAAAATCTTCATATTCTTCTTTATGTACGCTCATATTCTTAGATTCGTATACAATTTAGAACGAAAAGGACCTTGCTTGCAAGCGTTCTTTTAAAACCGTTTTTTTTACTTTTCAGACTGCTTCACCAAAGCGATATATTTTGTATAGTTCCCAAATGTAAAAGTAATAAAATTTACCACCAGCTTTCGTAAGTATAATCGTATTTATGCATAGCTTATCCAAATCGATTTATCATTGTCACTAGCAATTAATAATACACTCGGCCATCAATTCGCCTGTCAATCATATCAAATACTATTAGCTCGCCGCTTTAAATGCACTTAAACGCTGCAAGGCAGCGCAAAATGGAGCAACAACTACGCAGTTGGTTGCGCTTCTGTGTTTACTTTGGCATATATTTAGATGCAACGCCAAGCACTTACAGTAATAATTCAACTAATTGCATACAATTGAACTCCACCATTTGCATTACGGCTAAACAATCGCCAAATCGCCACTATACGCTACAACGCTGTTATAATTGCTTACTGTGCTCTATCAGTTCCGCTTTATTTGTGGGCAGCATCTATTGGCACCCCTTTCCAGAGGGCTTAACACTCAATTGGATAGCGATTACTATACTCTTCACAACAAGATACATCGCAAATTTACTTATACTCTTGGACGCAGTGTGGAAGCAGCGACAGCATGAGACCTTCCTCTTGTTACTACAAGAGATCGAGGAGTCATTCCGTTTGCGTCTGAGTTGGAACGCGCGTAGCTTTGCGCTGCTAAAGCAATTGAAACGCTTTCTCATCTACCAACTAGTGCTATCCGTGATAGGCCTACTGCCTTTCATGGTGGCCACTTTTGTTTCAGTGGACTATGGCGGTTACTTTTGGCGTGGAGTGTGGTTCATATGCACCGCACGTGTACGCACGCTCCAGCTGCTGGTGTATATGCAGATTCTGCGTCACTTTTTGTTTGGTTTGTGCGCGAAGTTGGAGCAGATTGTGGCCTATCGGATGGCACCAAGTCGGCAGTTGTTGGACATGGACTATGGCCGACTTGGTACGATGGCGTATTTCTTGGCTGTCAGAGAGATTTATGCGTTGCTCGATAAGGCATTTCAGCTGCTAAATGATTTTGCTGGCTGGTCGCTACTGGGCATTATGACTACTTTTGTGCTCGATTTGAGCTCAAATTTCTATTGGATGCTGCAAAGTTTCGATAATTTTCGTGGACGCCGCTATTACTACTTGGTCGATTTGTGGTGGTTCATACCGGTCGCCACATATGTGTGGTATTTGTGTTATTTGTGCGATAGTTGCAAGCAGTTGGTACTATATTCACCTTTCACTATATTGGCAAATTTCTAAAGGCAATCTTGCCCTTTCTTACAGGGACGCAGAGTGGCGCAATTATTGAGCAAAATTATTTTGTTGAGCTCAGCGAGATCGGGTGTTCATTATCGCTTAGTGTTGCAACAATTTTCCATGCAATTGCAGCTGCAGTGCATTGAAGTATCAGCGCGGAGTTTCTTTGTTCTGGATTTGCCCTTCGTCATGTCGGTAAGCGCCTGCCTGTATGCAACGATTTTTATAATCCTAATCCACTCTTTGTAGATTTCCACTGCCATGGCTATGCATTTGGTGATACTTATACAGTTTTAAGCCGAATATAAACAGTTTCAACTTCTAATCTCCATTATTTCGCATGCGATTTAGCCGTGATTAATAATTTTTGGTTTACCGCTACATCGAAGACATCTTTAATGACATGTCACCAAGGTGGTCTTGCATACGTCTTTTACATGTTAGCTAATTTTAGGCATAAATATTTATACATTCAGGACATCATATGTTATGTTGTGTGATTTTTATATAAGTTTCAGCTTATTTTTGTTGAAAAATTATTAAAAGGTTTATAAACATTCATATATCGTCGCCTGGATAAAAGATTGTCGTAAGCGCTACTTTGACGATTTTTAGTTGTGTTTTAAGTCTCTTCGCTCATATTTTTATTAAAAATAATAGTAGTCTATTTTTTGCCATTTTAATACATCGCAACATTTTAGGCGATCTTTTCCCGATATTGTCTATGCTCAAATTGACCTAAAAATAAATTTAATAAATTTTTAATCCTAGTTTTATTTTCGAATTGCAGCTAAACACTCAGGGCCGGTTGCTCAATGTCAAACATCCTTATCGACAGTGAGTCAATAACATCGATAACGATTGACATTAGGAATCATCTAGTATCCAGAATAAAACGATTTTAAAAGATCACGCAACTTTATGAGACTTTTTCAGAACAATACTAAAACTTGTTCAATGTTTTTCATGAATTTTTTAAGATTTTCTTCGAAAAGTTCTTTTTTTGCGGAATTTTATATTCTTCTCGATATATTTTCATGATCTTGCTTATCTATATATGATATATATATATGATATAATGGTTTTTTTCGGGACGTTCAGTGCTTTTTAAAATGTTTCGATAATTTTCGATAAGTTTTCCGTAGCTTACTGTTAAACATTTTTTAAGAATTCTGGTGGGTTTTTAGCGTTTCGCACTTTCAGTGCTCCCTCTGACGTTTGCGGATTTTGGCAAAATTTTATTGGGACTGATGAGAACGCTCAAAATATTCTCGAAACTTTTTTGTTAGTGTTCAGAAATTTTCAGCAACTTTCGGAATCTTTTATGTTTCATTTTGGAATTCCTTCAGAAGGTTTCAAGAGTTTCTTCGATATCTTTTCGGCACCTTTCTTAATATTTTAGGGACTGCTACCAAATTGTACCAAAACTTTTCAGATTTCTTAAGGCATTTCGGACTTGTAGCGATTCTTTTGCTGGGCTTCTTTGGCTTATTCTGACATTTTTCGGGGCGTATTGCACTTTTCGGCTTGCTCTCGGAACTTTTCGATTTTTATGTACTTTAATTACCTTCGGATTTGTTTTCAGCAATGTTAAGAATTTTTCATATTTTGTTCTGGATTTATCAGTATATTTTAAGAGCGTTTGAAATTTTCGTGATTTCCTCAGAACTTTTCAAAAACAATTTCTTAAATTTACAGAAAGATTAGTATTTTTACAAAATTTTTCAGAATTTATCCATTTTTATTTTAAGTGCTTTTAGCCTTTTTCCTAACTTTTCGGGATTGCGTAATCTATGCTTTTTCTGGGATTTTTCAACAATTTTCATGTTCAGCTATTTATTTACTTAAATCTTATCATTGCAAAGTTTTCTCGAACCATTTCTCAAATTTGACATTTTTCGGGACTTTTCACTTTTTTGGGAATTTCTTGGCTATGAGGCTTTTTGGTAGCTTTAAATTTTTTTTTTACTTTCTCGTTGTTCTTTTTTTCAACCTCCATTTTTTGGTCCTCATAGCATTTCCCGAAACTTTTGGGGAACTTTCAAAATATTTCGGAAACATTTCGTGACTTTGTCCAGATTTCGGGGTTTTGTTGACTTTTTCGAAACTTGCAGCAGGGAACTTTTAGGGACTTTTAAAAAAAAATCGGATGTGTTTGGGTGCGTTGTTCCATTTTGGTCCTTATTTTTTCGGGTTTTTAAAAATATATCAGAATATCAGTTCTTTTTTTTTTTTGGATTACTTCTCATAACTTTTCGGATTTAAGGGAACCTCAACATACTTATTTGCTTAAGTCCGATCATTCGATCATGAGTTTAGTGAAGTTTTTTTTCTTAAAAATTATTTTTTATAATTTATTATTCACTTTTTTAATTCTGCGAATTTTTAAAAACTTGAAAAAATCTCAAAATTTTTCGAACTTTACAAAATATTGGCGGAACCTTTTGGGATTTCGTCAAACTCTGTTCTTGATGGGTTTGGAAGCTGTTTCAAAGCATTTCAGAATGTTCTCTTAATTTTTTTGATTTTATGGGATATTTCGCTTTCTTTGCGTTTTTTCGGGACTTAGGGTTGTGTGCGACAATATTGACGATATACTTCGGATTTTTTTATGAAACATATCTTTCATTTATTCAGACATCTTTTAGAACTTTTCGGGTCGAACAAGAAATTTTCATGATTTTTTCAACCTTTTTTCAATGTTTTCGTACCTTGTGTTTTCGAGGTATGTAAGCATTTTTCGATATATTTTGGGCCTTTTCTCAAATTTTGAGGGTCTTACCAGATTTTTGGAGATACTTTTTTACTCTTTTCGAGATTTTCCGAACATTCCGATTTTGTTTAATATTGTAGCATTTTGATGTTTCATTATTTCTGCATTTTTTGAACTCACAGTGATTTTTTCGCCAGTTTTCTTATATTTTTTGGAATAAATTGCATTTTCTTGTAATTTTCGGTGCATATTACGATTTTTTTGAATTCTTTCTGAAAGTTTTTTTTAAGTTCTTTAATTTATTTAGGGTTTTACACTGAGCATGTATTGAAGGAAAAACGTTAGCGTATCGATTACATTCTTACAGCTCTCTGGTAGGTTCATATGAAATCACTCATATTCTTCAATTTACCTGTATATGCTCATTACAAAATTTCTTTGATTTTTTTACATTTATTAGGACGAGCCGTATGTCCTCCTGGCAAATTTTTATGATAGAAGTTGGATTTATTAAAGTTTTATACATCAAACATTAACTTATTTTCTACAGAATTGCAGCATGATGTTAGCTACAACGTCGAATTATACCAGCCTACAATTTTCAATGTGCCGTCGCGCAAAACATTGCCGCCAACCAAGTCCAACCAGAACAACAGGAATTGCACAAGTATAACCAAACTGTTGGCTGTCACATGTATGATCTGAAATCGAATGAAATAAATGGAGCGAGATAATTAAATATTCTTGTGAGTATATCTCACTTTACGTACAGTCATCAGTAGCTGGCAATCCAGAGTGAAGAAATTCTGTGCCGTTACTTCAATGCGTTGTAGTTGTAACTGTGAGCAAAATTCATTCAATAACAGACGATGAGATGCCAAAGACACAGTGTAACTCGAAATTTTTATCTTATTCAATAAGTGGTTTATGTTGGAGCCCTAAAAGTATGCAGCATTTATTTAGCAATTTTTTTGGGAATAGTTTTCCGTCACCCACCGTTGCTTTGCATTTCTCACACAAAAAACACAAGTACCAAATGATCACCACAAGCGGTAAGAACGTTAGCGGGCCTGCAATAAAATAGTAACGCCGATTGGGAAATCCATTTACGCTCATCAGCGTCCAATAAATGTTGCAAGTGGCGTCAAGCATGTAGCAGATGACAATCCCGAAGAGTGACCAGCCTGCGAAGTAATTTAGTAACGCGAATGCCTTGCAAATGCTGGTATAGATCTCCTTGACAGCTAACAGACATTCCAGAGACTGCTGCTGCTCACATTCTTGATTCAACCTGATTTGCTGTGGTGACAGCCGATAGGCTACAATTTGTTGCAACGTCACGCAAAGACACGCCAGATAGTGCTGTAGTAAGCGCACGTAGACCAAAATTTGGATGATGCGCACCCGTAAGGTGAGTATAGACCACAAGCCATGCCAAAAGAAGCCAATGAAGTCGAGCCAATGGGAAGTAATTATGAAGAACGCAAGTGGAAAAAAGGAGAACACAAACAAGTTGCAAATGAAGTGTTGTAAGTGCGGGACAGGCTTACGCACATCCTGCCGCAAACGCAACTTGAACGAGGCTTCTAGCTGCTCGAGTAGCTGTAGAAAAGCGGCATGCTGTGAGCCTCTAAAAACTGATTCCATTATTATAAGAATATTTGTGCACAGCTGAATAGTGTAGATTGCCAATGTAGCTACCCAGGTGAGTGGTAGTGTGGGTACGATGTCAGATCCGAGGAGAGCGTGTACGTAGAGTGCGCAGATAGTTAGTGTTAAGAGGCCACTGTAGATACACGTAATATGGTTGAAGCGCGTGCTGTTCAAGCTGAAACAAAGTGGGCGCTTATGAAAAGATGCTGGTACAAAAGTTTTCACTTCGATGAGGCGGCTCTTAGGCGGTGGTATATAAATGCCAAAAAGTATGCAGAAACGGAGCAGAAAGTGCAGTATTCGATCCATTTTAGACGGAGGAGAGCAACTGACTTTTTATTTTTTTACATTGAAAACATTCAGCTGAATCTTTTGTGGTATAGAAAAGTGCGATTTTTGTTTGTGTTAGTGTCTTTGTCGTCTACTCAACGAATGAGCTGTTTATCGCTCACTGCTATCTAAAACCAATTATTCTAAATGCATACCCACAAAATGTATACACTTTGCTACGATTGCATACACTTTGCTACGTATCCGTGCATGAGTCATATAACCTGCTCTTTATATACATATTTATTTCAGCTAATGGTAATGAGCTGAAGCTGGAGTCAATATTTCGAAGTCTCCGCCCAAAACACCAACTCCACGCCGAAATTGTCGGCCGTCTGGTGGCAGCTGTGGTATATTAATTCCGCCTGCTGTTTATTGCTTTCAGCCTTGTCTCGTTCGTCGCATTTCCGTGTTCTGCGGTGATGTCAACCTTACATTTCGCGAGAACTTCCAACATTTGGATAGAGTTAGATTCTCTTTAGAGGTACTCCTACCTCAGGTAAATCGGTCGCCTATTTTTTTCTGCGGTGTTATTACACACTCTGCCATCTCAAACCCAGCATACGTCCCATTGCGTTGAAAGCATGGAAATCTTAATTCC